ATTAAGCCTCAAAATGAGAATATTTTTTCGTATACATATAAAAATTAAAACAATTGAAATGTTCCTGCAATGTTGTGAACACAATATAAAGAGAACAACGAAATTTACTAATAAAAATTATGATTTTAATAAAAAACAGAATATTCTATCCAAATATCTGCTAGTGTCTAAAAGGGTTTGGAATTTTGTAAGTAATTTCACGAATTGTGGAATATTGTTATTTACTTATTTCAATTCCTTAAAGGAAAGACATGGTATAATAATGTTTGGTAACAGCAAGTGTTGTTGTACACGCGGGTAAGGTATATTTCTTTATGAGCCATAGCCAGTTATATAAGTAACACATATGAAAATTCTAGAAATTGAGAATTATTCTATGGAAATGGATTTACTGCTTTTAACCATCCCAATAGCCAGATTGAGAACATTGAATACGGGAGAAGATTTAATAAAAAAAATAGAATTTTAAGTGGTTATTATGTTACCTAAATAAAAAAAATCCACTTTAATTATTTATTTTTTAACGGAAAAAATAAACGTTGATTTTTAACTGTTAAAAATGATTTTTATTTTTTCCGTAAAAAATAAAAGTCTTTTTGGGATTTTTATTTTTTCCGTCAGAAAATAAAATTCTTTTGGGATTTTTATTTTTTCCGTCAGGAAATAAAACTCTTTTTACGTAAATAGATATATAGAGTTTGGTACCAGTTGTATAACCTTTGACCTAATAGTCAGGGAAATGATTCTTTAATTAATATTCATGATTTTGTACACTAGACTATTTTCTAAAAATTTATAACAAATATTTTTTACCTTTGAACTTGATTACTTATGTGTACACGTATTGTAATAAGGACAGAGATTTATAAATTGTAATTTTATAACTGATTACAAGTTGTATAAACTTCTTTACATAAAAAGAGTTTTACTTCCTGACGGAAAAAATAAAAATCCCAAAAAGTGTTTTATTTTCTGACGGAAAAAATATAAATCCCAAAAAGACTATTATTTTGGACGGAAAAAATAAAAATCATTTTTAACAGTTTAAAATCAACGTTTATTTTTTTCCGTTAAAAATAGTCCTTAACATGGGATCTGAGAGTGTTTTCTCAAGATCACTCAATATCCTTAATGGGCTCCCCAATACGAATCTATTGGTATATGACACTATTGGTGTCCCATGTCTCTAACATGTCCCTGCAATATACATATAGTGGTGAAGGGTATCAATAATTTTTTTTGGTTATTAATAATTTTTTTTGTTGATTTTCTTTAATAATTTTATTATCATGATTTTTTTTCCTGATTTAAAATAAACCCTGCCGCAAGATGACTTAAATTTGTTTGATAAATCATGTCAAATTTAGCCTGATTGAGGAAAACAAAAAATTTGAATCGATCTTTGATCATGATCAAATATTATATGTAAATCTTTTTTATATGTAAATAGATTGCATTAATTGGAATATGCAAACGCAATATCAATAGTGTTTTAGCCTACGATTATTGGTTATAATGAGCGACGATGTTCAAACTTCCTCTAAACGTGATTTCAATTTCCTCCTTGCTTTACTTTATTAAATCATAATTCTAAGACGACAGAAACTATTTGCGTCAAAGCAATTAAAATTAGAAACAAATATACATATATGTATAGAATTATTTTTTACGTAGGTTTAGTAACTGTAAGTATCTTAGATATTGTCAATGTTTAAATGCTTATCATTGTTTCTGTGTCTGTAATATAATGGCTTCATAGTTTTGAAAAATAAAAAAATACAAATTTCACGATTTTCGTTTACACATGCTTGCATGTGGCTGGCTATGTGCGTGGCTTAAACGAAACAATCCTTTTGTCTTCTAACAATACCAGAAAAAAAACCAACTTCGACATAGACTTTGACTAGTTTTATGATATGAAAAAGCAGATGAAATCTCCGATTGTGACTTATTACACATTGGACTTGGTAACAGACATAGAAAACGGCAGACAAAATAATGAAAGAATATTTTTTTTTGCAGCAAATGAAATCAAAACAATAAAATTAACAAGAAAAACTTTTTTGTTATATTTCAAGGAAACTCTTCGAAATAAAAAACAACAACAAAAAATACTAAAAACAAAATAACGTCTCAAGACACAATCGCTTAAAATCAGTGGTAAATTCTGTCTATAGCTGTTTAACTATACATATGTTTGTATGTACATGCTTAAATTTTGAAGCGAAGCTGTGAAGACGATCATCATGACTGTCGTCAACATGTGATTGGTATCAATGGTTATTCTCATCATTGATAGAAGTGACAGTGTATATGAGGGGGGTACACAAACAGAAATCAATCAATACATTATCATTCATTGTTGTCCATACAAACAAGACTAAAATATGGTAATTAGAAGAAAGTTTAGTAAAAATAACAAAGGTGGCGCCAACATTAATTAGTTGCACCCGTTGTTATTCTATAAATTAGTTCCATAAGAAACCCCCTTTTGTAATCATAACTAACCCTCTTAATAATACGCCCCTGACTACCACCCATCATTGTGAATGACGTTGTCGTCATTCTCATCAAAACATCGTCGTTATTATGAAGATGATCAATTTTTGATAGTATGAATTTGTCCGTCTGTCTGACTGCTGCCTAACTTCAATGAGCTTTGACAATAATAACAAAAAAATAAAACAAGAAACAGCAACAACAATACAATAAAAACCGAGAGTTGTGAATAAGAGCAACATTTCCCAATCAGAAAAAAACGGCATACAAAGCAACGAAAGAACTTCAGTGCAGAATCTATGAATGAAAGACGAAAAAATCTCAGTCACTGTAGTTGTGCAGATATTCTTATGATTTTATTTTTGTTTTCAAGAGTTAATTACTTAATTAAAAAATACAAACTTTAAATAATTTTCAAATATGGTTAGATTCACGCTTAGAATTGGAAAATGTATATTGCAAAAGTTTGTAATGTCTCCAATTTTTTTATGACAATTGATAGAAAACACTCTAATTAGAATAAATTTGAAATTTTATATTTATACATTAACCCTTTCAGTGTTTTTGTCGAATATATTCGACATTTAAAAGTATTATCTTTCTTTGCGATTTTTCGGTTATCCTATGTACCGTTAAGATAGACGGTCAGCTTCGTCTATCTTTCAGGGATAAAATAAAAATTAAATGATCAAAACATATGGCTAAATCGACTAAATCGTTTTAGAATTCCATACTATGTAGGGTATAAATTTCGAGTACAGAATATCCCCCATACTATGGTGGAATACAGCTGTATGGATTATCATTACGTTTTGTTCCCATCAGCCATATATTGATTCCTTGGCGCGTCAATTACTTAAAATCAATCTATAATATAAGGGAGCAATATCTAAATCTCAACCGATTTTCACGAAACTTGGCACTCATCATTCTGGATTAAATTCACTACGCTATGCAACATAAGAACTTTGGTACATTATTTACATTAAATCGGACGAAAATATATATACCTAGATCTGAACCGATTTTCACGAAACTCATCAAACATCATTCCAGCACCAATTCAGTAAGCTGTGCCAAATTTCGTGTAAATTGAAAGATAAATGTGGACTTTGCACCATTTACATTAAATCGGATGAAAATATATATGTCATATGGGAACTATGCCTAAAAATTGTGTTCTTATGCGATCTATCTCAATTCCTTTAGACGGAGTGATTGGAGTGATTACAGCAAACTTGTTCAAATCGTCATAGAATTTACGCTGATCAAGAATATAGTTACAAACGGCAAATCTCAACATTCTTTCAAATTGGGAGCTGTTGTTATGACGTAGCATATTTGGAGGATCATTGACATGAAATTGGGCGATTTAAAAAAGATTGCAACATTGCTGTTATAGGATTTCCGAACCGATTTCAACATAACTTAACTTATTTAACTTCTTCGGTTGAAGGATGTTCCTTTGCGAATACGAATTCTCTTTGACATCTTGCACCACTGTGTAGGGACAATGAAGATGCTGAGATTTTTTTTGAGCTTAGCAATAAACATACGATCGTGTATTATCTACATACATAAATATTTACCATCTAAGGTTGCTGATCTTCTGCTCGAACTTGTTGACTAACTTCACTATCTCATACTCTCAACTATATGCTACACACACACATGAACGATGAACACACAAACATTCGCGATTACATTCGGCAGATTTCTTAAGACCTAGTGTCTTCGGAGTTTAGCATGTGGCACGAGTGGTGATTGTAGTTTAGTTTATTGTATTGTGTCGGCTGAACTAATCTAAGGTGACGTAGTTGTCAAAGACATGACTTTAGATTTTCACAACAACAAAAGCAACGGTGACAACGACAAAAACAACATCATTGTCACAGCAAACGTTCGTTTTCGTTTAAATCGGAGTCACAGTGCAATAACAAAAACAACAACAGCAACTCAAAAATTCATAATTCAAAGATCCTCTCGCTTCTGACAGCTTACAGCATAGCGTGAGGATCAGACGTAGGAACGGACAAACGGATGGACTAATGATCGGGTGGAGACGTTCACAATAGCTAGGACAGACTGACAGACATATACCAATAGAGAGTATGTGTGTATGTACGTGTGTCTCTTTGGCTTGGTTGGGTTGCCTTGCCTGTGCCTCCAACATCATCATGGACTACCTTGCCGCTTGCCATCGATGTGATGTTCAATGTGTAACATTCTGTGGCGGCAGCACTCCGCTTGAAGACGAAATATATTTTCATATAAATATTTCAGCACTTCGAGAGGAAAACATCAGTTATTGTTTGGATTTCCATAACAACGGTTTTGTATAGGGAAAAGCAAAGAACAAAAGGGTTCAAGTTTCGCAGGCGAACAAACATAGTTCTCGTAATTTTATTGGAGAACAGGATTATTTTGTAATCCTGAAAACGCAACTGTCCACCAAAATAGTTAATTAATTTGAGAGAGAGCGAGAACGATAACCGAGTGCTATGTGGAAATTGGTGTGTGTGACATTGGCGATAACAACAGTGTTGGCGAGGCCAGAACCACCCGTCAACTCCTATTTACCACCGTCCAGTAGTTATGGAGCACCCGGAGCAGGTGGTGGTTCGGGTGGCTCTCCTTTGGCACCTTCAGATTCATATGGAGCACCAGGTTTAGGTGGAGGAGCTGGGGGTTCTGGTCAAGCTCCATCATCTTCGTATGGAGCTCCAGGTTTGGGTGGTGGAAATGGTGGAGCACCTTCCTCGTCATACGGAGCTCCCGGCTTAGGGGGTGGATCAAATGGTAATGGCGGTGCTGGTAGACCTTCTACAAGTTATGGTGCTCCCGGTTTAGGTGGTGGCAATGGTGGTTCTAATGGCAATGGATTTGGTACTCCTTCTTCAAGTTATGGAGCTCCAGGCGGCGGTAATGGTGGTGGACGCCCCTCTTCTTCGTATGGTGCACCAGGAGCAGGTGGTGGTTCAAATGGCAACGGTGGCGGAAGACCTTCATCTAGTTATGGGGCTCCTGGTGCTGGTGGTTCAAATGGTAATGGAAACGGTGGTGGAAGACCTTCGTCAACTTATGGAGCTCCTGGTGCTGGAGGTTCCAATGGTAACGGTAATGGTGGTGGCAGACCTTCAGCGACTTATGGTGCTCCAGGTGCTGGTGGCTCCAATGGTAACGGTAATGGTGGCGGTAGACCCTCATCGACTTATGGCGCTCCTGGTGCTGGTGGTTCCAACGGTAACGGTAATGGTGGCGGCAGACCTTCGTCAACTTATGGAGCTCCTGGTTCTGGTGGTTCTAATGGTAATGGCAACGGTGGTGGCAGACCATCCGACAGCTACGGCCCTCCTGCTTCGGGTAATGGAGGACGCAATGGTGGTGGTGCTGGTAGTGGTGGTCAACCTAATCAAGAATATTTGCCACCCAATCAAGGAAATGGTCGCAATGGAGGTGGTGGCGGCGGTAGCAACGGTGGCGATGATAATGGTTATGATTACTCTCAGAATGGAGGTGGACAAGGTGGCGGCAGCGGTGGTGACGATGGAAGCAATGTAAGTAATAATGAAACGCTTTAATTAATTAGGTTCTGGTTTAAGGTACTACAACTAAGTTAAATTAAAAAAAACACCAAATTTGAGGAACAATGTCTTCTGTCTTGACAAAAAAGAACAACAACAGAACTCCTTCGATAAAACAACAACATGATAGACAGCACACGTTGCACAGGACATAATAACAAAAAAACAACAATTTTTCTCTTTTAACAAATCTTAAAAACAACAACAACAACACAGTCACAAAAACCACTTGGGCTTCAGGAACAAATCACCACCTACAACAACAACTACAAAACTCTTTCAATTTTGCTTCCACAAAATGTGCTTATAATTTGCTCCTGCTACTGCTTCATCTTCTTCTTCTTCTCACAAATTCTATTTTTATTCGTTATGCTTTGATTTGATCCATTTTTGTAGGAACCAGCTAAATACGAGTTTAGCTATCAAGTTGAAGATGCTCCAAGTGGTTTATCGTTTGGCCATTCGGAAATGCGTGATGGTGATTTTACAACTGGTCAATATAATGTCCTATTGCCCGACGGAAGAAAGCAAGTAAGAAGATAACAAAATATACAAAAACTGACGAAACGTCTAAACATTCATCGGCTAAAGTGATCTATTTAAATTATTTAAATTAAAGTAACCTTTATTTATTTTTGTTTTCTGATTCAAAACAAAAATAAATGACATATTTTTCAAAACCAAGGGTTTGGTCGTAAGCAATGTGTTAAACAGGCTGTAAAGTAATATTTTTGGTCAGCTTCAGACGCAATGTGTTAAACAGGATAGACTCAATGTTCTATAGAGATGTGTGAACCTATTGCACTCCTGACATTTATTGTATCTACGTTTGTATGACGAACTGTTATGATTGAACGTTTCCACTTAAACTAATTCAGTTTAGTTTATTATGTCATAGACAAAGATTTCAGATTATTATGTCATAGACAAGGATTTCAGATCGTTACCCAGTTAACAATTTGTTCCGGGTTGTTTTTCAAATTCGGAACGATTCCGATCCCAATTTGCCGAATTCGTACCGAAATCGGAACAAAATTGTGTGAAGTTTTTGGAAAAAATCGAAAGGACATTCGGGTTTGTTTGGGAATTCTAAACGAATTCATAAAGAAATTCGGGTGAAATAAAGCGAAATTTTAGGAGAACTTTCGATTTTCTGAACAATTTCGGACAAAACTCTGAAGGAACATTCGAAAATAGGAACGATTCGGGTACTTCTTCAGAAATTCTAAAGAAATCGGAATATTATCGGCTTCTTTTATTGGAAATTTGAAAATGTATCGGACGATAGACGCATTTTTCTTGAAACAGTGTTTTTACGAATGCTGGGCACGATAATTCAAAAACTAATAAACCAATCGGTCCCAAATTTTAACACGTCATTTTGTACATATATAGTTATCGTATGAACTAATCGTATAGCAATCGTAATCGGTGAAGATCTTTCCTATTTTCTAGATTGGCTTTTGACCGAAATTATAAAAAGTAATTTTCCTAGATCGTCCATTTGGCTAATTTTCGAGCGTAGTCAGTTCATACCAGTGCCAGATATGTACTAAATTTAATTGCGTTGGAATTCGGATATTCCAGTGATCGGCAACAAGACAACAAACAATTTTTTCAATTTATTTTCTTCTTTAAGTATTCAAATACATGAACGCAAAGTTACAAGTCTTTAACACAATAGGTCTGTTCCCGTACTGCAGGTATCTACTGGTTTCTACTACGATAACTAATTTTCCTTTATGATATCGATGAAAATAGTGAAATGTAGTAGATTCTTGCAGTACGGGAACATATCAAATGTATGCTCAAATCGACTTTCGTCTAATCGATTAATCGACATTTTGTATTGAAAAGTCTAAAGGGCTAAACAGAATGTTCGCGTTGAGCCATCCTTTGCGTTATGTGTTATCGAAAATACAACAACCACAAGGAAACGATAATACAAACGCTCGAAGATGATGTGCTCTGCGCTTCGAAGTTAAATATATTTTAACGCGATAACAAAAGACGCTCATCGCGAACATTCTGTTTTGCCCTTTAAGGGCGTTATCGTGTTCCACACTTTTGGTGAATGCTCCAATTTTCAATGGCAAACCGTTTTCATCAGGGTGCGCAAAAATTCGCTCGCGAATGATTCAAAATACATTCTTATCGTTTTGTGCTCATTTTACGAATGAATTAATGGCAATAAATTCTTTACCAAACGAGCATTTGCTAAAGAATGTTCGCACACACATAACAAACGAGTGAGGGCACACAACAACGTTCGTTTCGTTTGGTGGTTGAAATTCTTTCTGACATTTCCTCACGAATGCAAACAAACATTCCCGAATTCTCGCGAATGCTCAAAACGGCAACAGCAATAACATTTCAAAACTGTAAATTCTGATAGAGTTCAACATTCGTAATAGTACGTTTGGATTTAGTAAAACCAGTGGGTTTAAATTGTCAATTCTATTGCTTGTATATCAAATTAATCCTCATAAACTAGTTTAACCCTGCCAGAAGTTCATATGTAAATGCCGTTTTAGTTAGGTTTCCATACAAATTTTATACAAAAAGATTCGATTTCTGTTTTCAATGTAAATTCGAATAGGGCCAAACTATATGTCATATTTCCATTAGCAGTACATTCCAATAACTTTTTATCGTTTCCGACAATTAAATCAGTAAAACTAAAATTCATAATTAAAAAGTTATAGATTTTAATATTATGTAAATAAATGTTTAATTGAACTTACTATTATCGGTATTTCCGTCATTAGCTGATATTTTGTAATATATTTCTCCCCCTCTCTCTCCTAGATCGTTGAATATGAAGCTGATCAAGAAGGTTATCGTCCTCAAATTCGTTATGAAGGTGAAGCTAATGAAGGTGGTCAGGGAAGTGGTTCCGGTGGTCAAGGTGGAGCTGATGGATATGATTATGAACAGAATGGTGGTGGTGCTGGAAGTGGTAATGGCGGCGGTGGTCAAGATTTGGGTGCCGATGGTTATTCAAGCGGGCGTCCTGGCGGCAACGGCAATGGAGGTGGCTATTCGAATGGTGGTGGCGGTCAAGGAGGTGGACAAGATCTAGGCTCAAATGGTTATTCAAGCGGTGCTCCAAATGGCAATGGTAGACGCAATGGTGGTAATGGCCAAAATAATAATGGCCAGGGCTACAGTAGTGGCCGCCCCAATGGAAACGGCAATGGTGGTGGACGTAACGGTGGCAATGGAGGCGGTGGCTATCGTAATGGCAATGGTGGTTCAAATGGCGGTTCCAATGGTGGCAGTAACGGTTATAACTACGAACAACAAGGCTCCAATGGTTTTGGAGCCGGTGGTCAAAATGGTGACAACGACGGCAGTGGTTACCGTTACTAAGTTACGCAATATCTGCTCATATCGATGACGTCACAGTGCTATGTTTCTGGTTTATGATTTTCGACAAAATTGAATATTTGAACAAATTAGGATTATCAGTTGTCAAATAAGGCTATTCCACTAGACTATTATTACTATTATGATGATAATCTAGTATAATTATAACTTTTTTTAATATAAACTATTTATATGTTAAGTAAACAAATATTTAAAAGTAACGAATGTGGCATATACTACGAAAAACAAAACTCATCTACCTTCAACGACAACCACAACTATAATTCATTTCACAATTCTTATCATAGGAAATGTTCATTATGCTTCTTTTTCTTCTTCCTATAAGACATGTTTTATTAAACATATTATATGCAAATGGCCCACTTTCTATAAGAACTCAAAAAAAAAAAAAATTGATCCACTCACATATCATCATAGATTTAAATGCACATCCATCCATTCTTAATATCGCTTTAAGTCTATAACATCTGTTATAAGTTTTTATTTTTATAGAGGAATGAATTAATGAATACATCGTAAAAGATACGAACAAAATGAAAATAAAAATATATATTTAATAAATAATAAAAATTAGCGTATAATTTTATTTCCGAATAACTTGAGTATACATTTTTGAACTGATTATTCAGACAATATTAGTAAGGTTTTATTACCTTATGATTTAAATGAAAATATCTTCCTTCGAAGTGTACGCATATCATGTGTTCAGTGGCAAAAATTGCTAAATAATTTATATTTATAAATATAAGATGTAACACCCAGGGTCAAATCATGAGAGCAATATTCAGCTTTAGAAAATATATTTTGTTGAATTTATTGAAAATATGCCAATCAACATACATACATACATAAAATTTTTTGGGATTTATTTTTCATATTATTTAAAATTGATAGATTAGTTCCAAATTAAAAAGGGTTGTCATCATCAAATTCTGATATGAGACTACCTACCATGTATAATTATACCATGATTTTGAGGTAGCGAGAATTAAAGTCAAACGATCTACCGTAACGCAGGATTTTTGGTGGATGGGCTCTTGAAATGTTGGTAGAGGACCCACTTTATGATTGAAAATTGTGTTCAGCTACGAAGCTAATTTTTGGCTCAATGATTACGTAAATAAGTGGAATTTTCGCTTTTGAAGAGAAGATGAGCCGCTAACATTTTTTGCCCAAAAGACAAGAGCTTGTCATGTAGTGTATAACTCATCCAGTTTTTAACCGATTTTTTTGATTTTTCTCATTTTCGAAAGCTTATTTAATTTTCTTCCCCGTATTATAATAAAACTTATACGACTTGATATCATAATTTTATCGTACAGTCCGAAGAAAAATAAATTTTGTCTTTTTATGCATATTTTTTCACATTTCAACCAACTCAGCCAATCCTTAACCGATTTACCAAATGTATATCTTGTTTGAAAGGAAAACTGCTACTCTTCGAAAAAAGATTAATATAAATCCGATAGAAATAAAATATGTTATTCGCGTTTCAAATTGAAAATCTATGAATCCACGTTTTTCTCTACATTTACCGTTATAAAACTAATTTTCGAAGTGACCCAGAAAAACCAAAGGTATTTTCGTGGTCCAGGGACTCCAACCAAACAGAATTGGTACATTAGAACCCCTGAATAATTTTCGTGTCGCACAGAGTAATTAATTCGCCACGACATACAGAATTCAGCATTTTGAAATTTTAATAACAAAAATTGTTTACTTTTTGAACATTTTTATAACTGTTAACCGGCAGGCGAATTCAAACAAATTATTCAAACTTTCAGTTTAATTTTAATTATAACTACCATATGGATAAGATAAACCATTTTCCACATTTTTAAATTTCGGAGGATGAGGTATTAAATTAACATATATATATACCCTCAGCCTATGGTTTGGGATAGTCTTCGGAAATACACAGGCTTTATTTTGGTATATGTTTATTCAAAGCGGTTTCGGAGTTAATATTGATAAAATCGGTTATTCAATTCGCTTCCAATTAAAATTTCTAGTTTATAAAATATTGACCCTGTGTGGGCGGGCTACCAGAAGGAGAGCGCCAACGGGCCCAACCTTCTGATTTGTTATATGTTTGGTAAAGATAATAGGTCGTCCAAAGTTCTATTCAAATCGGATATTCCTTTCGCCTAACATTGACTTTACATACATTGAAAAATTGGACCAATTAGTCCCATATTCGGACTTGATGTAGGCTTAGTAAAGCTAATAGTTTCTACCATGTTTGGTTTAAATCGGACATTCCACTTTGCTTGATATTGTATTTATAAATATTGAAAATGTCGACCATTTGCGAGGGAGGTACTACAAGGAGTGAACCGATTGCTCCCATTTCGGACTTGATATAGTATTGGTAAAAATAAAAATAAATAAAAAAGTGCAAAGTTTGGTTCAAATCGGATCCAATCAATCCATTCGCCCGATATTGGATTTAAAAATATTAAAAAAAAATTTCGACCATTTGTGAGGGAGTACCCGAGGGATTGGACCAATGAGTCAGATCTTTGGACTTGATCTAGGCTTGTGCCTAGAACAAAGTTTGGTTCAAATCGGATCCATTCGCCCGATATTGGATTTAAAAATATTGAACATTTCAACCGTTTACGAGGGAGGTACCAGAAGAGGTGGAGGAATAAGTATAATCTTTGGACTTGATTTGGGCTTGGTAAAGCTACTAGGTTGGTTCCAATCCGATGTGCAAATAATTTTTTGTACAACTTTGACCATTTTTTGGGGGAGGTACCAGCTCCCATATAATATTATCATCAATATTCGATATTTTGGACAAGTTTTCAAACGAATTGGCTGTACTTTGGTATGTTGTATTCTTATTGGGTGTCAAATTTCAATACAAAAAAATATTAATTTATTCGGAAATTTTACCAAATTTTCCCAAATTTTCCCAACGAGTAAAACACCAAACCGAAGGCTTTGGAGCAGGCACATCCTCCTGTAGAGATGAAGAAGGAAACCTGGTGACAGATACAGACAGCGTGCTGAGGATCTGGAAGAAGCATTTTGAAAAACTTCTGGTATCAAATTGTAGCGGTGAAGAGGATACCACAGAACCAATAATAGATGACGGTATAGAGTGTATCTAGCCAAGATGAGGTCAGAATATCAATCAATGGGCTGAAGAAGAATAAAACAACTGGTGCCGATGGGTTACAAGCCGAACTATTCAAGACTGGTGGTCAGGAGCATGCACCAGCTGATTAGTACAATTTTGCTACAGGAATGCATGCCCAATGATTGGAACCTCAGCATCCTGTGTCCCGTGCATCTCATATAAAGTGTCCTTCCCATCTCATATAAAGTGCTTTCCAGCGTTCTGTGTGAACGACTGAAGCCAATGGTCAATGTCATTATTGGACCATAGCAATGCGGCTTCAGACCTGGCAAATCCATCAGAATGTCACTCTGCGCCAATTTCTGGAAAAAAAAACACATCGACACATTCCATCTATTCGTCGAATATAAAGCCGCATTTGACAGCCCTATCCGTTCAGAGGTGTTTAAAAACATGTCTGCGTTTGGCATTCTTGCAAAATTATTTCGGCTATGCAGGATAACTTTAACTGGCACAAGATCAGAAGTTAAAGTCGGAAAGGACTTTCGGAGCCATTTTTACCGAACGAGGATTCAGACAAGGTGACAGTTTGTAGTGTGACCTTTTAACATCCAGTTGGAAAGGATCATACGAGAGGCAAAGTACACCAAACAACACATGTTACTCGCTATGCCGATCTAACATTGAGAGCGGTAACAGCCACCTTTGAAAAAAATTGAGAAGAACCAAATTGAGAAGACCAAGCTGATGGTATCAACGCGGAAGACGTCTACTGGGATCATCTGTGGAACTTGAGAACTATAGCTTCGAGGTAGTCAAAGATTTTATATACCTTGGTACTGACATGAATAAAACTAATGACATCAGTTTTAAAATTCGGAGAAGGATAGTGTTGGCCAACAGATGCTACTACGGTCTGAGTAAGCAACTCAAAAGCAAGGGCACCTCTCGCCAGACCAAACTCATACTCTACAAGACGCTGATACTACCCGTGCTGTTATATGGATCTGAAGCGTTGACGGTGAATATCGCCGCCGAATGAACTATGAGTTGTACCAGCTATTCTCGGACATGGGCATTGTTAGCCGTATTAAGCTGCAGCGACTACGTTGGCTAGGTCATGTTGTGAGAATGGATGAAGATGCCCCAGCCCAAAAGGCATATAAAAGCGAACCAGTTTATGGTTCACGCAGAAGTGGAAGATCTTTCAAATTGGAAAAACTTCGCAAAAGACCAATGCTCCTGAAATCTTTTTTAAGCGTGGCTTATTGAAAGAAAGTTTTGTTACACGCCAGCTAAGTAAGTAAGTAAAATTATTCATATTGACCCAAGTTTCAGGGTACACCCCATATAACGTTGGTCTCCAATATTCGGTATTTTGGCGATTTTTGTTTTTTCTCTTAGACGATGCCCCAATTAATATTAAATACTTTTAATGTCATCCTCATGGTGGAGTGTATGAAAAGTTCGGCCCGGCCGAATTTGTATACTTACCATATGGCAAATCAGAATGCTGAGAAATGCGCCTTTTGCGATTAATTATTCTCCTTCACACTATTGCCTTAATAAGAATATTATAAAGAAAATAATTCGGAAGTTAAAGGAAATCATCCGCCTTAATTTGCGAATACATTCGTTAATTTAATTTGACATAATTGCTGCTCTAATTTATTCCCTTCAATAACAAATAAATTAACTTCTTAACAAAAGTTTTTTTTTTTGAAAAATTATCTTTTTAATTTTATGCAATTGCAGACATCTTCACATATTCGGAGGGACAAGACGAATAACAAATTATTGTTTTAAACGAAATATGTATGTTTGTGATTTTTTCCTACTTAAATTTATACAAACTACATTTTTTCCAATTTCCGCAAAAGAATGCTCATTACTGCAGAATAGATCCCTTCAACTAATTTCATGCCAAAGGAAGAAATAGTTAATCGTTACCGTGGTTGCATGTGGGACGTATGGAGGCTAACATGACACACGAATGGTGATGGTTCCTCTGTTTGTATGTTTGTGTGCCTGCCTGCCAGTGTGCTTGACTGCTGTCGCTCTAAACGAATCTAAGGTGAAAGAATTGTCAAATACATGACTGTGTCTTCTGCCAACACCGAAATTGCCGAATAACAACATTAACAAATGCATGATTCAACAACAACAACAAGCCATCCTCTCGCTTTTGACAAAAGACTATTAAGACGGGTAGTAAGGTCGTCGCAGCTATGAGTGCTTAGGACGGACAGACTAGACTGCCTGCCAACCAGCCAACCAGCCCAGTTGGTAAGTGTTGCATGATAGCCTACATCGCTGTGGCATCAGTAACGGAGTCAGAGTCAGTGATTTTCCAATGTGTAGCACTTTACTGTGAGCCACTTCGGATTACCTTCGAAGGCAGGCAGCCAGGCAGCCTAAAGATGTTTTCCTATAAAAGTTGCTGCATTTCGAGATGAAACCATCAGTAACGATTTAGATTTTCATTGCAACGGTCTAGAGCAAAGATAAACAGTTATTAATCTGAAGGGAAATCTTGGGCATCATCACAATCGGAATTCGGAATCCATTTGGCATAAGAACTGAAAAGCTTGTGCCACTGCTTTACTATCAACCATCAGGATAATTTTAATCCTGAAAGAAAAAATCTGAAAATAATTGAGAACGGTTAAATTGAAATTTACATTTGGTGAACAGCGATTAAGAAGATTTAAGACAATGCTGAAATTACTGTGTGCGGCATTTGTGATAACAGCAGTTCTGGCCAGGCCAGAACCACCAGTTAATTCATATCTACCACCATCTAGTAGCTATGGAGCACCTGGCTCCGGAGCATCATCGGGACCTTCATCATCGTATGGAGCACCAGGATTAGGTGGTAATGGTGGTGGTGGTGGCGGTTCAGGTAGACCTTCATCCTCGTATGGTGCACCTGGATTTGGTGGAGGTTCAAATGGTAGTGGTGGTGGCGGTGGAAGACCTTCGTCCTCATATGGTGCTCCTGGTTTTGGAAGTGGTTCTAATGGCAATGGTGGTGGTGGCGGTGGAAGACCTTCTTCATCGTATGGTGCTCCTGGCTTCGGAAGTGGCTCTAACGGCAATGGTGGTGGCGGTGGAAGACCTTCATCTTCATATGGTGCTCCTGGCTTTGGAAGTGGCTCTAACGGCAATGGAGGTGGCGGTGCTGGTAGACCTTCCTCCTCATATGGTGCTCCTGGTGCCGGTGGAAATGGTGGTTCTGGTAGACCCTCATCGACATATGGTGCTCCTGGTGCCGGTGGTAATGGTGGTTTTGGTACTCCATCATCCAGTTATGGAGCCCCAGGTTCCGGTTCGGGTGGCGGTAGTCCTTCATCTACTTATGGTGCTCCTGGATTCGGTAATGGAGGTAGCGGTGGTGGCGGTGGTAATGATGGCTATGACTATTCACAAGGTGGTGCTGGAGGTGGTTCCGGTGGCGGTTACAACGATGACGGTAACAATGTAAGTGAAAAAACATAAAGTCATTAACTAACTAACATTCTTGCTTCCAAACAAGGCTCGTCAGCAGAATAATTCCGGAACAATATCCGCTAAAATTTTAGAATTATTCTGCTGCATTGGAAAACTAGCACCATAAATCGCACCCTTTCTTAAATGAATACCAATCGTTATTCTCACAACAGTCACTGGAGCTCTAATACCGCTGAACAAACTGCTTCTACTAAATGCTTACATAAAATAACTTTCATAATATTGATATACCCTCACCTTGACGGGAAGGAGTTAATGGTAATAGATTTTTATAGGAACGGAGATATTGGGAGGATCCTTAAATATTTTTATAGATTTGTTCACGATCGTGCGAAATATGTTGTTGTAGTATCTTTTCAATCTGGAATAGGTGTTCCAGCATACATCAGAATATTCTCCTTGGAGAGGTTTTCGTTTTTCGCTTCGCAGCTTTCAAAAGGATAGCAGCATCTGAATTTTGACTGGCCTTTATAATAACTCTGCTTTCAGTAATCTAGAACTAAGTCCGCATCTTCTCGCCTGTTTTACATATGTCGACATAACTATTAGTTCTTGATTTAAATTTTTCATTGCAGTTATTGAAGTATCAATTTCGAGAAAGTTCCGGAATTTAATAGAAAAAAGTGATGCTAGGTCGCATATTTTTTAGTCTACAAGGACTAAAATGATTTGTGGAACAAAAAAAATGTGAAAATTATGCAGAAGCTAGACAAATTTAATTTATTTCTCTTTCGTGATGAACTACATGATCGAAGTTGCAATTAAGGAAAGTTGGAGACATACTACATTCCCACCATTTTGCGACGCGATTTGCCGTTTGTTAAGCGACTTATCAGCAGGGTGCTCAAAAATTCGTTTTTTGAGTTTTTTTCAAAAGAATGTTCTTCAGCAACAAATGCTCGCAAAAGAATGAATCGACGACGCTTGCAGCGAAATTTAATCGTTCGTGAATTTTTCGTACAATGCGAACATTCGCGAGAGATTGCAAATGCTTGTTCATTCATTGTGACGTTATCATTCGCGATTAATTGAAATTCTCGCTGTGAGCATTCGAGAGAAAGGGCGTATTTTAATCATTCTTCGCACCCTGCATATCAGGCATATTGGACAATGTGGCATCCAAAGGTCGTTACTTGATATATTGTATTTATATCGAATTTGTTGCCAAATTGCATCTACATTTGTTATCACCAGAACATCCTTTTTCAGAGCAGACTTTTTCTTGTATTGACCTACAATGTTTTTCTTACATGGTATACAACTGAATGTTGTGCAACCTACGGATGTAAAGTTAAGGATGCGCCGGACAACAATTGAGGGATGCCATAGGAACCAGGGTTCAAATCCCAGCCGGACTCAAGCTGAATTTTTAGTTTTATGCCTCTTTAGGTCGAAATATTTAAATGTAAATATTTTTATTTATTTCTATTTCGAGATGGGCTACATGATTGAAGTAGCAAGGAAAAGAAAAGCCAGAGAGATAATACATTCCCACCATCATTAATTTTGGTTCTTCGGCTCTGACATCGCAGTCTTAATCTCAAGGTAAAGATGCATGGCATGCATCCAATTTTGGAGAATATCAAGCCCAACGTTCCATAAATTTATACGAGTGCTATTGCTGGTTGATTTGTATCCACCATACATTGAGTTATTGGGGTTGGAAACGCCGCCCATGACCTTAAGCAGGCTTAAAATATTGCGGAACTTTTAGATATATGATATGTCAAAACTTTGGACTATATTGAATTTTTTTTTTTTTTTGCAAAAATGTTCTTTACCTACCTACATCCTGAAATACCAAATCTCAGCCTCTTATTATATGCGGTTCTATATTCTGAGCCTGGGCAATATTTCGCGATGTTTGCACCCTCTTTACCGATTATTGGGTAACAGCTCCACTTCCTTACCCTGTTATATAAAACAAAAATTTGGTTACTTTAGATTTTGGTAAATTTGATCCTCCGAAATATTGACCGGTCATTGTTTAAACAATCGTTCTAAAAAATATGTGATGTTCTGCATATAATAACGGCCTCTAAAGCGACTAGAAAATCTGGCAAAAAAAAGTTTCTGGTTCATTGCACCCCCTAAATATCATATCGACATCACCGAAAATTATAGGCGTCGTCCTTGACAATAACCGGGAATTCACTTCAAAGTAATCAGCGCGACATTTCCGCCCTCTAGTGGGGTAATAGTAATACAAAATAATATCATAACACTTAGACACCTTTAAATGTTTATGTATAAGTCCCACATCCGAGTACATACATAAATATGTCTATGTCCTTCAGTAGTAAGTATGTATGTAGATTACAAATTTTGTTATTTTCAAAAAGTCAGGGTCCATTTGACACGTAAAATATTGACCGATTTTCATCAAAACTGTCATGCTTTTTCTTTGCCCAAACTCCCTTCCTGGTGTCAAATTTCGTTATATTTGAGCCATAATTGTGCGACCAGAAAAAAAGACAAAAATGCAGTTTTTGTCCATTTCATCTCCTAAGTATTAGCCGATCATTACCAAAATCAATAAAGGACTCATTTGGTCCTAACCGAACCTATATGCAAAATTTTGTGAAGATTTGTCCATAACTGTAGCCTCTATCGTGTTTATAAATTAAAAATTAGAGACGGACGGCCGCACACACATGTTTTGATCGAATCAGATAGCCAAGATATGATATGATATATAAAAGAGGGTCTCAGAACAATATTTCGGACCATGATATAATACCATAGTTGTGTATATATATTTCATATCAAAAATCCGGAATGCCAAATTACAGTCACTTTTGTTTTTGGATATATCACGGCACGTTATATTGGGGCTACAGCCACATTGGTGGGAATGCATCTAAAACCTTCAAAATTTCGAATATGGGACAATCTAGTTATATGGGGATAACCGACCACTTTCTCAACTTTTTTGACAACTTTTCTTTGGCATCAGAGAGTAGAATTTGACAGTAGGTCTGGATAATATCTCATATTCTTAATTAACAATAATTCAATAATACAAACCAAGAGTAAGGGTATATCTGGAAATATATACGCACTTTAAAGGAAAATGTAACAACCTCGTCCATATCTTTAATTTGTACCATTTTATAGGAACCAGCTAAATACGAGTTTAGCTATCAAGTTGAAGATGCTCCTAGTGGCTTATCGTTTGGTCATTCAGAAATGCGCGATGGTGATTTGGCAACTGGCCAATATAATGTCCTATTGCCTGATGGAAGAAAGCAAGTAAGATATATACTGTATTACACGGGATTATCAATGATCGTGGAAATTTTCAATTCATTTCAAAAAATTTTACGACCAAGAATTTAAATTTTGTAATAATCATAGTTAGGAGAAAAATATTAACAGGGCAACTTGTCGAAGATTTGAAATGTCAGAAGAAGCGATTTTTGTGTTTTTTGATATAAAATATTTGTTTAAAGATATTTTATAAAAAATTTTAAAGTGATTAACAGATTGAAATCGTGATGAACTACATTATAATTCATAAAATATCCGATATCCACAATATCCGATACGACATCCTTATTTGTATGCAAATTTAAGGAAATATGTCTAAATTTGGAATTGTAGATCATTCGATTTACAACTCTAGTAAAACGGCATTTACATTAGAACTTTTTGTAGGGTTAACCTACTTTATGAGGATTTATTTGACAAATAGGTAATGGAATTGACAATTGAAACCCACTGAGTTAACTAAATCCGGTATAATTTAAACGTACTATAAAACATTTATGAGCAGATTTTATTTAATGTCTAAAATAGTTTCAGAATAATGCGTATAAAATATTTGAAAAACCTCTTTGTGCCAGACATACAACATTCGATTTTGTTCGTTAATTTTATATTTAATATTTAAAAAATATTAATATTAAAAAATTATTTGTTTACTTCTCCTTTCCGAACAGATTGTTGAATACGAAGCTGATCAAGGCGGTTATCGTCCACAAATTCGTTATGAAGGCGAAGCTGGTCAAGGTGGTGGTTTAGGAGGCGGTGCCGGTGGTGCCAATGGTGGCTATGACTATGAACAAAATGGTGCTGGTGGTGCAGGAGGCTCAGGTGGTTATAGTGGCGGACAAGATTTGGGTGCCAATGGTTATTCTAGCGGTCGTCCCGGTGGTAATGGTTATTCTAATGGTCAAAATTTAGGTTCTAATGGTTATTCAAGTGGTGCACCAAATGGTCAAGGCAGACGTAATGGCGGCGGCGGTAATGGAAATGGTGGAGGCTACAGCAATGGTCAAAATTTGGGAGCTAACGGTTATTCCAGTGGTCGTCCAGGCGGCAATGGTAATGGTGGATATTCCAATGGTGGCGGTCGTTCAGGTGGAAACAACGGCAGACCAAATGGCCAAAGTTTGGGTGGAAATGGCTATAGCAATGGCAGGCCCGGTGGTCAAGATTTGGGTTCAAATGGTTACTCCAGCGGCAGACCAAATGGTCAAGGAGGTCGCAATGGAGGTGGTGGCCAATTTAACAATGGGCAAGGTTATAGCAGTGGTCGCCCCAATGGCAATGGTAATGGAGGTGGTCGCAATGGTGGTTCTAATGGTTATAGCAATGGTAATGGTGGTCGTAATGGCGGCGGCGGCTCCAATGGTGGCTACAACTATGAACAACAAGGCTCCAATGGTTTTGGAGCCGGTGGTCGTAATGGTGATAACGATGGCAGTGGTTATCGCTACTAAACCCCATGACATGCAATCCCCAATACGACGACGTTTAGGATCACTTTTTCTGGATTACGATTACGACAACACTGAATATTTTGAATATCTTAGTTAGTGTGACTTTCAATCAAGGCTATTTTTGACTAGTTGTATTCCAATAAGAATCGATTATTTTAAGTTTTTAATAATTTAATATTTACGAATACGTATTTTCTTACTCTTAAGCTATGCTTTCGTTCCACGCCCAAGTCTGTGTTAATGGTATTCTATATCGTATATCGTCTACCTACATTCATGTTCATCATCACTTGTTGTTTTTACCTTTTCCCCTTCATTCTGTAACTTTCAAGCTTCATATTTGTTATAGAAAATGTCCTCCTTTAAAGGACTCAAAAAAAAAAAATTATAAAAACAAAAATATTTTATAATATAATGTACAACAAAAGCATTTTTATAATGTCTTAAGTCTATGGCATATTTTTTGAAAACAATTAAAAAAAATATCCATTATATTTTATAACGAAAATAATTGAAAAAATAATAAATAAAAAATAAAAAGTTTTATAGAAAATATATATAAACAAGTTTTATTTTTTAATTAAAAATCAATTAAGTCATAGATTTAGAAAACATATTTGTGCAAGCTAAAGTTAAAGATATGCTCCTAGTTACAATATCTTGACAATAGGAAAAAACATAGCATCTTTGGAGAAATTAAATATGTGTTCTATATAGATAAAATAACCTACTTTAATTAATCCATACACATGTCATTCTGAAATCTATACAAAATGGCATTTCAAATTGGCAGAATTAAGGTCTTTGGTGTACTACATTAAATCGATGAGAGCTAAATGTTCATTGATCTGAAGTAGACTTGACACGTGACAATTGTTAATCAGCCTCACAGCGCCCTTTCCAAAGGTGAAATCAAGGAAATATATAATGAAGCTATATCTCTATCTGAAATATATAGATGGATGATATGAACCGATTTATATAACTCACGTCATTGTAGATTTATTATCAGGCGCCATTCATCACTCAGTTAAATGAGCTATCCAAAATTACGTCTCAATCTGACAAACCTGTGAGTTCGTGTCACCATTTACATCAAATCGGCCGTATATATATATATATATATCGAACTACATATAAAAGAAAAACAGCCCAATGTCATTATTGACCTCCTCCTGGTATGAGCCTTTCATTTTTGGACTTTCTCACGGTAATTTTTTTATGTCTTTAATATTTAACTTTGATTCATCGAAGAGCTTTTCAGAAATAAAAGAACTTTCTTGATAGTTTCCTGGCATATAGGCCTGCTACCATAGCTCGTCCACACTCTGTTCTTGAGGTTATATCCAACGATAATCGTCTCACAAATTCAGTTGAACTCTTATATGGTTATTTTTTACTACTATTACAATTTGTTTATCAGTACGAACTGATGTGCTAAACTGTCATGTAATAATAAATTTTTTGCAATTTTTGCATGTACATTGCTACTACTCCTAGTATATTTGGTATTGGGAATATCCCAAAATTTATTCAATTTAATTAAATTTTCCTTTTATTACTTTTATTTATTTTAAAAATTAAATTTGAATTAATAATATAATGTAAACCATTTTTGAATTTCTTAGTTGTAAAAATTAGTATTTAAATAGTATGTAAAATTACAATTAAGTTAGATGTAGAAGAATAAGATAATGGAATAGAATGAAATAAAATAATTGTTGTTTTTGCAAAATAGTCAGGCTGAATCCCAGTTTGTCGATTTGCATTTGTCGCGATGTGACAACACACAACAGTGGGAATGGTGTGGTATTGTTTGTAAATGCCTTGTTAACTTCGAAGTGAGGCTCCAGCGAAATTCTCATGCAGTTAATGTCGTTGGTCAGCTAAGTACTTCGCTTTGTTACAAGAGACATTTGGGTATGAAAGGTTTTTTGTATAGAAGCAATAGCTTCTGGGGAGAATATCCTAACAAAAAAAACTAAGGGAACTGATGAGGATCAGTGGCGTGATCCGAAACTATACTCTTCCCTGCCTTACCCCTCGGCAAACAATGCCATACATTCCCCACTAATAAATAGTTGTTTTTTATAAAAACAACAAACTGCGATTCAGTCTGACTATTTTGCAAAAACAAAATACAAATGGTATCCCAAATAAACCGCCAACACTACTAAAATAATTGTTGTGAATTAAACCGCCATCAATACGCGTCTTTATTTCCGCCGTCCAAAAAAATCTCTAAAGTAAATAAACAATAACATAATTTCAACATTATAAATAAGTTAATTTTATAATTAAAAAATAAAAATAACTTACCTTAAAATAAAGGTAAACAATTGGGAACAAGTTTCGGAAATGCCCCCCATAGAGCGGTAACTCCATTATTCGTTGTTTGGTAAATTTAGGCACGTTTTTCAATAGAGTTGGTTCAATTTAATATTTTTAATTCTAATTGGGCAATAAATCTTTCTACCAAGAATTATTAATATTAGTCCAAGTTTCGGCATAGCCCAACAGAGCGGTAGCCCACATTATTTGCCATTTTAGGGACTTCGGGCACGTATTTTAACCCAATTGACTATAATTCGATACTTTTGATTCTATGAGTTGTCAAATCTTTCCACTAAAACGATTAATATCGGCAACTACCATGTAACGGCACCACTCCATTTTTTGTATTTTGAATGTTATAACCGAAGTTTTGGAGGCTGTATATATGCATATAATTATTAACCCTTTGTAGCTCAATGTTGCCCATAGGTAACAAAATGTTTTAGAGCTTATATTTAATTAAGATATATCACGATTTCCATGTCAAGCACTGTTATAGGAGGTGATGCAAATGTGGTATACCCATTTGTTTTTAGATTGCCAAATTTTTATTTTTTATCCGATTAAATTGAAAATTTACACTTAACATGCTACATGTGTTGTCTTTCCATGTATCAATTTGAAAATAATATTATTCTAACAATTTAAGAGATATTTGAGAAAATATTTGAAATCCCATAAAAAGTGATTTTAAAAGAAGTGCAGGTAATGTGGTATACCACATGATGTTAATGTGGTATAGTATAATTTTCACTTCCAATTGATATCTTATATAATTTATTGTTTTTAATGAATGCGAATTAGCTCGAGATTTATGTCTGTTAAGATTTTTAACGGATGCGTTGAGTGCAACTTTAATTTTTATTATATAATAATGTGTACACATGGCAATATTTAATTTTTGTATGGAGAAGTTGTTAAAACTCATAGCCTTTGTTTTTCATCCTTGTGATTCATGGTAGACTCTCGTAGAGTACAAATGTTTCACATAGTAATGAGATTTTGTCTAGTGCTGGCCTTTTTGCATGCAGAATCAAGGTATACCACATTACCTACACTTGTGTTTACTGATGAAATGTCTAGTTTTTTTTTTCCAAATTGGTGATTATGTGGTGCAATCGCGCATATTATTTGATTTTTAGTTCATACTGATTATTTTAATGCTTTAGTAATAAGGATTAAAGTACATCCGTAAAACAAAAAATTATTTTTAAACTTCGACCGAAAAAAGTCAATTTCATGAAAAATTTTATTTTTGGTACTGATTCTCAACGTGATTTAAATAAATTAAACAGGTCATTGCTATCTTATTTTTTTGAGAACATCAAACTATAGAACATGTTTCAGTTATTCAAAAATGTTCAGTTTACAAAAAAAGTGACTATACCACATTACCAACCTATACCACATTTGCATCACTTCCACTACAACGTGCGAAATATAAGGGTTATTTTGGTAAAAAATCCAAAATTTCTTTTGCAATTTTTATTAAATAGTTTTACGCTCTTTTTATGAATATATTTGTAAATTTCGGAGATATTAAGCAAAATGTAGCGTACGCAGTTTCGATATGAAATTTCGGCAAATTGACGGGAGATAAAATTGTGGATTTTTTCACAGCTACAAGGGATTATTCAAGATTATATTGACATTATTATATTTTTTTTTTTTTTTGAGAAAACATTTCTAACATATACTTTTTTAACTTTGAACACCGTAACGCACCATTACACACGTGTACTAACAAAATTAAATTCAAAACAGAATGTTTTAAGGGAACCCCACCCATTCTCGATTTGAATTTTTCAAGATTTTCAATTTTCAAGATTTTCAATCAATACCAATGCTTGTTAAGGTTTGTAACTTTGCACATATATATTTGAAGATTTAAAAGAGAAGAAAAATAATTTAAAAAAAATTTTTTGTTATTGTTTTGTTGTTGTTTTTGTAATTAAAGAAAATCCCTTATTTTTGATGGCGGGCATGATAACTCACTGGAACATCGGAATCCGAAAATTCCAACGGTGTTAGAAAGAGTACATGTTTTGCTCTCGTACGAACTAGGATTATTGACTTCGCTCTAAAATTAACAAAATGGCGGACCTTTGAAAAAATATTTTTGGAAAATCGCCGATTTTTGACCAAAAACTAAGTTAAAAAATAAGGTAGATCTTCACCGATTTTCTTTATCCTAGTTCAAAGGAGAGCTATACACTCACAGAGAAACGTGTAAAAAGTTGGAATCGATTGGGTTATTAGTTTTTGAGTTATCGTGCCCGCCATTCGTAAGAGAGAGAGTTTGAGAAGCCCTTTAGCCGTCACTTGATGCTGACACAATAAATCGGCTATATTTTCAAGAGTTCTTGAGATTTTCACTTGCAATTTTGTAGGGACATTCTCGAATTAAATTAAAAAAAAATTGACCCCGAGAATGGGGGGGTCCCCTTAAATATGCTAATTCTTATACCCTACACAACTATGTTGTCAGCGTATTATGGCTTTGTGTGGCCCCAAGGATTTTAGTATATCATTATGGAGTTTTGGACCAATCGTCACGAAATTTTTGCCTGTAAGTCCGGTTCTAAACCAACTTATTGAGAAAAAATGTAACATGTGCGTGACAGATACAAAATTTTTCGATGGAGATAGAAAACAAACATTGTTTTATTTGAGTTTGCCATCTTAAGATCCACACATAACAGCATTATCCAAAAAAATTCTTATATCAGAGTCTGTATAGAAACGTATATTAATTTTGTCACGCACGCGTTACAAATTTTCTTACACTATTTATATATATATATATATATATATATAGATTTATATATATATATATATATATATATATATGTAATTCTTAATATGATTTTACTTTATTTGAATTTAATATTTATTATTGATATTTCAAAATTCAACTAAAAATATATTGTCCGGACTGCAAAGAATATTTCCTATATAATTTCATATCTCTCTTAACGAATTGATTTTTTGGCCTATGCGTTTTTGACGTTTTTGTGGAATTCGTGATATATTATTTGGATTTCATATTTCAAGACCTGACTATAGACGACACATATTAAAAGAAAAATCAAAAAAATTCAAAGTTTGGTAAAGTTATGAGCTTTACAATATATAGAACAGGGTAAATTTGTGTACAGTACTAATTTCTGTATACAGTCCAAATTATTTAAATCGCTTCGTATTCGAATTGTACGAATTCTGCCATCATAATTATTTTTGATTCTTGTAAAAATGAATAAAGAGAATAATGTAAAATAATTTTTCTGTCGATTTTGCATTTGGTTTTCTTGATATAATTTTTCCAAAAGAATGTACCGTATCTCCCGAATGCACGGATGTAGCGATGTCAAATTTTGTGCATATCCTATTTAGGATAGTTGCATTAAATCTGTGAACAGAAATTTGTTCTAGAATAGCGGAAAAAAATTCGGGGCCTCATATGAAAGTACCGCCTATTTTGGATATTTTTATTTGCGTTTTCATTTTCCCAAATAAACAATCTACTGGCAAACAATATCACAATCACAATTTTTTAAAAAACATTTTAATACACTATACATGGGGCAGAGCATAAAATGTTTGGCCGGGCCGAGTTTTTTACTGATTCACAGATTTACTGACTCTTTTTTAACATTGGAAAACATAGGGAAATTTCAATGCGTCAATATGAAAATAAAAATGCCAGGTGCTAACAAGTTGAAAAAAGGCTAAATTTGAAATCATTGGTTACACAGTGATAGTGTAACAAATCTTAGGAACCTTTCTTGTAGTACGTTTACATTTAACCGGATTTCGTTAACCCAGTGGGTTTCAATTGACAATTCCTTTGCATATATGTCAAATAAATCCTCATAAAGTAGGTTCTAATGTATATGCCGTTTTGTATATACCCAAAGTGGTAAAGGGTATCATATATAGTCGGGGCATGCGCTTATATCAAGAACCCTCTATACCAAATTACAGTCTCATCGGTGGAAAAATGCTGCTAAAGCCTTCAAAATACCGAAAATGGAACGGAACCGTTATTGCGAAGATTTAGTTCCCCACAAGAAACTGAAAATTCAAATTATAGCCAATTAGTTAGAAAAAACGGGCTAAACGGCACTCTATGAGGGTTTATTTGACATATAAGTAATGGAATTAACAATTTAGAACCACTGTTTTTAATAAATCCGGTACAATGTAAACGTACTATAAGCCACATAAAATACCGAATAATAGGTGTAACATTATATGGGGCCTACCCGAAAACTTGGATCAATGTTTATAATTTTTGGTAGAAAGATTTTCTACTCAAGGAAAATCAAAAATATAAAATTGCAGTGAATTTAGTAAAAACGTGTGCCGATATTAATAAATTTTAGTACCCAAAATAACAAATTACAGCTAATAATTAAGTAGAAAAACGTGCCTAAAAGCTTCAAATTTAGGGTACCGTTGTATGCCGAAACAGAGACCAATATTGGTAATTTTTGTAAGGAGATTTTCTGCTTAATGACCAATTTAAAATTAGAACCAATTATATTATTGAATTATATTAAAAATCCTTCCCCAAAGCTTCTAAATACCGATTGTACCGCTTCTAAGTACCGTTATATGGGGGTTACCAAAAAATATTGAAATCAAACGCCAATATATTCTTCCCACAAAGAGACAAACAATAGTTTTGAAACAAAAAATTGTTTCATAAATGCGTTCAAATTAAGACTAAAAAGTTAAGCGACATATGTCAATACTATACTATATTTCAATAATTTACATCCAAGGAATACTTGGAATTTTTCATTCCAGCAAAGAATTCTCCGTACCGTAATTTAAGACTTTGAAGAGTTCTTATTAAACTCGCCCTAAAATTTTGTTGCACAGTGTAATATTAAGAATTAACACAAAACAAATTTTAAATAATAATCTCTTATTTATTAGTTACCTTAGTCTAATAATATATACACCTATATTGTTATATACTTCCAATTACATCATTTCCTTCTTCAAAATCACCAAAATTTGTCCACGTGTAGCCCCATTTAATTGGGAATCCATTGGGATCTAGCGCTTTGTTAGATGGAGGTACGGCAGTGGCATTAATGACTTGTAATTCATCCAGCAATGCCTTCAATATATTGGGATACCTGCAATCGAAAAAATAAGCAAGTGAAATTGTTCTCTGGTAGCCAATTGTATCCACATACTTATGAGCTAAATTGTACTTTTCGCAGGGATCGTCCTTAACATTAAACAGGCAAGGTTTCTCCAAGGGCTTACATACAGTGCCCTCTTTCAAATAGGGCATGCGTGCCGAACAGTCAATATTCGATTCCGTACGCATGCGCGAAATATCTGCCATTGTGGGTAGCATATCGATTGTGGCCAACGAACGTCCAGCTAAACTTGAGCGAACGGCTTTGTAGTTATATGAACGAGCATTACGATCACCAGCCGGACCGTACCATCCATCCCAGGCTCCATTGTAATGAGTGCCAACAACAACTTTCCAATCGCTGCGTGTTAAAGCAGCACTTCCCCAAATGTCGTCGATATTATGGAGTATGGATTTGCGTGGAGAAGGTTCATCATTGGACAGGGAATCCCAGATACTAATACCATCCAGAGGCAATGAGGATATGTTTCTGGAATAAAAATACAATTTGTATTATTCATTTTCTTTTCAACGTGCATATAAATATACTTACAGTAGAGCCTCATCTCCCTTAATGGCCGATAACAGGGTGGGCAACCAATCGACAATATGCATTGTTTGATCGGCCAGACGTCGTCGCTTCTTCAGACGTGGCGACCACAATAGACCGGCACCTCTTACACCACCCTCCCACAGAGTGTTCTTTACACCTCTCAATGGCCAATTGGAAGCGTGATTCAAATTAAAACCCTCTGCCGGACCTCCATTGTCCGTACTGAACACAATTATGGAATCGTTTAACATATTTTGCTTCTGCAACTGCTGCACAATCCGTCCAACCGAGTCATCAAGCTTGCTAACCATTGCTGCAAGAGTCAAGTCAATGTGGAAAAGGGAATGTTTAATTAATTTATGTCAAAATGCCGTTATGCGGTTGACATTTGTGTTGAGCTGTTTTAGGTTTGTGTTGTTTTTTATTAAATTGCTAATTATTTCATATTTCCCTCCATGATGATGATGGTGGAGATGAGTGATGATGTGGGAACAGTAATCTCAATCACAACAACAACATTATCATCATCATCTTTGCTGGTGTTGTTATGATTATGACAGAGCCAGATCTATGACGTTACATTAATTAGCCTGACTTAAAAATCTACAACGACAATATATCAGGTAATTGCATGCCTCTCGGAGCCAAGTTTTTTTGGGGATGCTCTTAAAACAAACGAATTATTTATAATTGTTTATTATGTAGTTGCGATGTATTTTCTGGTTACATACCCTCAACCTACAATGGGGCCATACATAAAAGGGTAATGATATTGTCAAATGAAAAATCATTGGGTAAGCAAACAAAAAAGTCCCATGCTGATGGTGATAAGTAATTCAGCAAATATTGTTTAGCAAAATCACACAAAGAGAATGTATGTATACGAATGTGTTACAATTGTTATCTTATGTTCAAAAAATGTTTGTACCCTTCAAACTTGTATAAAGTCACCGAAATATATTTGAAATTAGGTGAGAGAAAAAACGGGATTAGATGTGAACAAAGATAAATGTGTCATTTATTCAGTCGAAGATCAATGTTTGAGAAAGTAATAACAATGGTTTACATTTTATTTGAATGCACTTTTATTAGGTCATCAGATCAATTCCTCTAGACATAATTATTATAGAGGGTGGCGTGAAAACTCCGATGTCGGATTTTATGACGATTTCTGCGACCAATATCTCTGGAAAGGCTAAAACAAAAAACTTTAGCAGTTATGTCTCGCCGATGACGCCAAAAACCGAGAACTTGGACTTCATTTTTGATTCCGAATATTTCAAACTTAGCGCAAATAACTATACACAATGTCGAAGCCAAACTTTCGTTAACCCAGTGGGTTGAAATTTCATTGCATATATGCCAAATAAATCCTCATAAACTAGGTTAACCCGGTAAAAAGTCCTAATTTACATGCCTTTTAATCCCCATTATATGATTTCTACTTCAAAACATAGACCTATATCGACTATTTATTACATAGACGCACTACATCCTCCAAGAGCCTAAAATATCAAATTACAGTCACTTCGCTTGGGAAAAGGCGACTAAAACCTTCAAATTACCGAATAAGAGGTGGGGTCTTTATAAGGGGACCTACAAAGAAAATAATTTTAGTGAATATTTTCATTATTCATTCATATTTTATTTTATTATTTTTATTTATTTTTTCCATTTTGTCGATATACCTCGCTTAGAATAAATGTAAAAATTCTATATTCATAAGAAAGCCACTGTTTTTTGCAAAACATCAAGGTATATTTAATAAGGTAGTCCCATCGGCCCAGCTGTTCGTGCAAATAAATGTCAAAAATGTTGTTGTAATGTTGAACCAAAAAATTAAAAAACAAAATTATAAATGAAAATCTCCGAATTTCGAAGAGCTTGTTTGGCAATACTTTTATTAACATTTTCTACAAGAATTTGGGTAAAAAAATCTTGTCAATCTATTTGTTTTGGCAAAATATTTTTGAAATATCAAAATACAACATACATATTTTTATCAAAATTATATACATAATTCGCTCTCCTTTACCGCTTTTTGCGCTCATTTTCCTCTCTCTCTCTCTATTATTTGACAAAAACATATGTATTTCTCCCAAGTAAAAAACCAACACCATTCACTCTTGGTCTGTATTTGATTTTGGTATCGTTCTCAGTCTCTCTCCTAAGGGGGTTAGTTAGTTTTTTAATAGTTTGCTAGTCTACTGTTTCTCTTGTTTATAACCGCGGTCTCTCCACTCACTCGATTGTGGCTAATTTTGCATACCATTGTTTTTTTCAGACATTGCTACCGACCTCTGCAGTTGTGTTATAAAATTCGCATATGTATTTTCAAAATTATTTCGATATAAATGTCAAAAACAATATATGAAACTCGCGTTGATACGATCAACAAGTCCAACCCAATGTTTAAGATTGCATAGGATCGTTCAATGACGCAAGACAAGAACAGGTAGAGTAAATAATAAGACCCAATACAAAAGAGATTGGGAATATTAGTAGGGCGTAAAAATCATCTAAGAGCCACTTTTTACCCAGTTATAAAATGAACAACTTCCGAACGAAGTAACGCCAATCTGAGTTAAGTCAACGAATTATAAAAATTCCTGGAAGCCCGTCCTAGAGTACATATCCAGGTCTCATATTTCCATATAATTGGCAGAATCTATTTTTGTTTTACTGTAGAATTTGATACTTCAGATTATTGTCTGATAAAAAAAACGTAGCAGAAAATATGTAAATATTTTCAATATGATGAAGGCCCAGACGACTTTTCCAACTAAAGTGTCGTTTTATCCGAGGATTGTGTTCGACATAAAAACTTCGAAACGGAATACTTTAAGTTCATCGTCTATACTCACCAGCATATTTTCTACGCCCAAAATGTTGAATATGTTGCATTTTAGATAAATCAGCATCTGGAGCTCTCAGTGGGTCATAGGGATTGCCTGAATGAACGGCTGCATGGGCAACATATAAGAACAATGGCTTCGTAGAGTTGTGGGTGGCAATAACTCTCAAAGATTCTTCCGTGACTAAATCTGTTGTATATTTTCCATGTAAATTGTAGCCAACTCTCATGCCTTTATGAAAAAGGGGAAATGATAAAATTAGTCACAAGATTTGAGCGCTCAACAAAAACTTACCATCCCGAATATCTAAACCCCATTGACCAGATTCAACTGCTGTGTGATCAAAATAATCATGATGTCCAGTCCAAAAGCCCACATGAGAAGCAAATCCTCGATAAAGCGGAGTGTATTTATGTTTGTAATGACCCAAATGCCATTTGCCAGCAATGTGTGATGAATATCTGAAATTTGTTTAAGATTCAGATATAAATGAATGTTTTTGAGTAGCTGTTGATACCAAAGAAAGTATGAAACTTATTCAGAATTGTTGAGAAGATTCAACATACAATAATGTATGTAAGTTTTGTGTGCATACTTTCATTGGCAAATTTATGCTATTTATGATTCTCTACCCCAAATCATTGAAATACTGTGGCATCAGTTTCTCCGTCAAAGGTAGGCCACGTGGCTCTGCTCCATAAAGGACTGTATGCTGCATTCCTAAAAACAATAATATTTGTAAAGATAATTTCCATACAATGACATGAAATGACAACATACCCGTGTGAATTGGATATTTTCCAGTCATTAACGCCGACCTGGATGGCGTACAAATTGGATTAACATAATATCGATTTAGTATAACACCGGAAAAGGCCAGAGCATCTATGTTCGGTGTTGGAATTTCCGAGGACCCTCTAAAGCCAACATCGTTAAACCCCTGAAAATATTTAATTATCTATTATTACTGTTTGACGGAGTGAGAAGGGTGTAAATTCACCCGGACAAAAAAGCCAGTTCTTATCAATGTAAACTGGTGCCCAAAACAATAGTAACTGAAATTGCAAACTGGATAAATGACCGGTAAAAGCTTTTTCAGAAATAAATAGGTATGTTATTCAATTAAAAAAAAAACAAAAAAAAATAAATTTATTTTGAAATAAAAAAATATCTATGGAAACTAAATTATTGACACAGTTATTGTTTGGGCAAACTTTTTAACTTTTTCTTTTAAGGAGATAAATCCAATCGGCCAAGATCTTCCTTATTATACCCTCCACCATAGTATGGAGGGTATATTAGTTTTGATTTTCCGTTTGTAACGCGTCGAAATAATCATTTCCGACCCTATAAAGTATATATAATCTTGATCAGCGTAAAATTCTATGACGATTTAAGTATGTCCGTCTGTTGTAATCACCCTATCGTCTAGAATTTAGATAGATCGCTAAAAATTTTCATAGAGTCTATTGTCTGCAGGCAGGTCAAGTTCGAAGATGGTCCACGTTTAGGCATAGCTCCCATGTAAGGGTATTTCCCCCAATTTTCGGTATTTTGAGGTTCTTGACCTCGTTTTTCAACCGAATTCGCTGAAAATTGATACTTTGAGTTCTTATTGGGTAGAAAATCTCCCCATCAAAAATTATAAATATAGGTTAATTTTTTCGGATAGCCCCCATATAAGGGTACCCCGAACTTTTGGTATTTTGGGGATCTTGAGCGCGCTTTTCTACCGAATTCGCTGAAATTTGGTACATTGGGTTCTTATTTCTGATAGCCCCCATATAAGGGTACCCCCAATTTTCGGTATTTTGGGGTTCTTGAGCGCGTTTTTCAACCGAATTTGCTGTAATTTGGTATTTTGTAGTCGTATATGGTAACAAAACTCCCTACCAAAATTAATATTCACCCCATTTTAGGTGTAGTCCCCATATAACCCCCTTTTTATACCCTCCACCATAGTATGGAGCGTATATGAATTTGTCATTCCGTTTGTAACTCAATCACGTAATCACGTTATCTTCTGTAGGAATTGAGATAGGGTGCTGAAATTTTGCATAGGTCTGTCTTTTGTCTGCAGGCGATATATCCCATCAAGTTCGAAGATGGGATATATCGGTCCACGTTTAGGCATAGCTCCCATATAACAGTACCACCAATTTTCGGTATTTTGGGGTTCTTGAGCGCGTTTTTCAACCGAATACGCTGAAATTTGGTACATTGGGTTCTTATTGGGTACTTTATGTATCCACAAAAATATAGAAATATATAAAAATATAGGTTCACTTTTTCTGGCAGATAAAGATTGCAGAAATAAAAATAATAAATAAATACAATTTCATTGCTCAACTGTTTCTACAGCTGTCCAAACAAAAATTGAGACAAGTTCCTTTTCCGTATATCTTTATTTATTTCAAAATTTATATTGCATTTATGCTTTTGTTTTTTGAAAATGAATAAAATACCCGATTTAAGACTGAAAAAAAACAAAAGGATGTGTTTATTTTTGAAAAAAAGTTATACCGCATTTATTATCTTTATTATTTCGGTTGCCTTAGTCCGTCTGAGCATATTCCTTAAAATGGAAATAACTACAATTTATTAATATTTAAACCACAACCGAGTGAGTGGAGAGGCGGCGGTTGTAAGCAAGATAAACAGCAGTCAAACGGGTGCAAAACTAACAACCAACAAGTGAGGGCGATATTTGTTTTGTCAAAATACTGAATATTGAAAGCTACCATTATATGGACGGTACCCCGAAACATTAATAATTTTTGGTACGGAAACTTTCTGCTCAATGACAATCCAAAATATAATAAAATGACTACCAATTCTGTTGAAAAAATCGTCAAAATTCCTCATATTACAAAAAACCGTTTTATGAAGGCTGCCCTTAAAAGAAAACCAATACGGAACATTTTCAATACCAAATATCCTAGGAATAGTAATGTATGTGGAAATTTCAAAGCTCTTATAGTGGAGGGTATAAAAAGCTAACTTAATATTGTGCTACCGTTATAATGAAGTCTTATAAATATATTGGGAAAATATAATTAAATCCAAAAGTCAATCTTATATGCGCATCTAAATTTATTAAAAATATTTTTTTTTCTACGAATTCGAATATTAATACATTTATATCAACAGCAACATTCGAATTCAAAATTAGAAAAAAATATTACAAAGATCTGCACACTCTACCTTATCGTGGAGGGTTTTTAAAACAAATCTAAAATTCCGAGAATTATAAATCAACAATATTGCTAGGCAATACAACGTTTGCCGGGCCCGCTAGTCCGTGTAGCGGTTTCTAAATCACAGCGACAACAAAACAAGATATTGAGGAAAAATATTTGTTTTTGGTTCGAAAAAATAATCTATATATGTATACTAGCTGAACCCGTGGCGCTTCGCTGCCCATACTAAAGCTATGTATTAGTATATTTGATTCAATTCAATAGATTACAAATACATCTTTGAAATCTTTGAATTACGGTGGGAGTATTAAAGACAAATTTAGCTTGACTTTTCTAATCAGTTGTAATAGAACCATACACAAATATATTTTCTCCAACATTTACATGTTTCTCATTAATCGTTCAAATACCACTAAAATCCTTCATTTACATTACAGCAATTTTTTATGTCTGTATTCTCAACTATTTCCCCATGATATGATTGGGATCCCTTTCTCACTCCGATTAATATCGCTTATATATCTGACGTTTGATCCTTGTTAAGTGTGAGTTGTGTATATTTAATTGTTTCATTGCCAAAAAAATCACAATAATGCATTATCACAGCATAATATGTTTACCGAATCTAGATATAGTTTTGTTATTCTTAAGAAACCAGGATCAAGTCCGAAGATAGGATTTGTGTCATTTGAGTTAGTAATTTTCTCTATACATCCTCGAAATATATTAGCTATAATGATAAGCCAACACAGATTTCGGACTTTTATAACTCTTATTCCACAATCAGCATTTCTCTTTTGGATATCTCCCATATTGAATTCATAGTCTTTTTCGTCGATGGTGGTTGAATTTTTAAAATTAAAAAATCCAAATTTTATTTTTTTCACAAATTGACAAAATGTAAAAATTAAAATGTCAAAAATTTTTCATTTTACACAAATTTTATTCCAATATGTAGATAATGGAGAGATGAGAAACAGCAGACGTTAGCGGAATTACTGAACTGGTGGTTTTTATCATTACTGATAATAACATAAAAGGGCCAAAAATGATGAGTCGAACATTAACGATTTGGACCAATTTTGTTAATTCCTGGTCACTTAAGATTAGTATGTAATTATCTGCGTATCATTCAAATTTGTATGAGCCGATTTATTTAAGATATTAAAATATATATGTATGTATATAGAAAATGAATATTAGTAAAGAGGTATAATTAATGTTGATGCTATAATTCCTCGTCATCGCGGAATTTTTGAAGTTTATCTTACCTATCTTACTTACATGGTTGGCATGACTTACTACGAAAATTTCAGTAAAATCTATTTAGCGGTTTTTGTGTCAACAACCAAAAGAGTTTCCATTTTCTACATTTATGTTAATTAAATGCAGTGAGTAGTACATTTTTCACTATTGTAACACGCCAATATTTATAGGGATGATGCGTATTTGCTACCAAGTTACTCAGACAAATTTTGGAGTAGGAATCTGTTACCCTTCTTAAGATATAAGCTTAGAAAATGAATATTAGTTCAGATGTATAATTACTTTCGATGCGATAACTCCACATTCACGCGAAATTTTGGAAGTTTATATTGCCTATATTATTTCCCTCGGATGGCATGATGTGTGGTAAAAATCTCAGTAAAATCTATTCAATGGTTTTTGAGTCTAGAAACAAAACATTTTTTATTTCCTACATGTAGATTATATAAGTGTAACGGAGAGTGCATTTCCATCGATCATATCTCGCTCATATTTTTATGTATAATGTGTATTCACACCTACGATATACAGATAAATTTTGAAGGCATTATCTGTAACCGTTCTTAAGATAAACGCATATTACATGTTCAGAAAATTTGAGGTATGTTTACTATTGATGCTATAACTCCACATCCACGCGGAATTTTAAAAGTTTATATAGCCTATGTTACTGTCAGGGCATGTCCCGACATACAGTGTAAATCTCAATAAGATCTGTTCAGCGGTTTTGGCGTCTATCGGTAACATACAAACAAATTTTTTTCTATTTTATATATATAGATAGATATAAATTTTTTTGGAAAAAATACTGACTTTTTCATGATTATAACAACGTTACCTATAATCCGACGGGGCGTACAGAAAAATTCACCTTCATTACTTTTGCAAAATCTTGTGTACGGCCGTATTACCCAAATACGTGGAATTCATATCTTCAAGCTAATAATAGAAACCGCCAAACAAAATTGAAAATCTATTAAATTAATCCAAATATTTTATGTTCTCATTCGAAATTTCATATTTTCTGAATGTTTTGTTTTTATTTTCAACAATTGAAAAAAAAAAACAAAAAATACGTTCTGTCAAAGTTGAAATTGTTCAACTTGAAATTTTATACGCTCGGCGTATTTCGGTAACATTCATATAAATACATGTGTTCTACTTTTGTGGTGAAAAACGTCGAACGAACTAGTTGAATTTTAGGTAGGGCTGCAAGAATTTTTATTTGTATTCTAAGCGAGGTACATCTACGGTTTCGAAAAAATAAACTATGAACGAAATTATGAAAATATTCAAACATATGCATTTTCTCCGATGAAGGTCATTTTTATTGAAACACGGATTTAGCGCAAAAACACACTGCAAGGGCTCGCCAATTCTTGTACAAAGTGTTAAATCACAAATATCCAGTAATGTGAAAGGAGTATCCGATTTAGTCTAAATTTCCCAATAAGATATTTAACAATCCGTCTAATATTTCTACCAAAATTATATCTGACAAAAAAGCTAAGATTGCACAAAAATATACGTACGAGTAAGAAGTAGATTCATTTTTGTCCATTACCTTAAGGTGGAGTGTATATTAAATTTGTCACCTGGTTGACAAAACCTCGAAATATACGTTGGAGACTTCATAAAGTATATGTTAATATTCTAGATGTGAATATGGACTAAAACAGTCAGTCCCAATTTTCGTATTTCTGGCATATCCCCAATATAAAAAAATCGCCCCATTTTAATTTAAAATACTCTCAAAATCCCACCGAAGAGCCTGTAATTTGTAATTCCGCCTTTTGCCAAGAAAATGTTCAATATAGATCCGTGTTTTTGTGTAGCCCCCATTATTTAATTTAACGTACATTAGAATACTTTGCCCATACGTACGTTATGGGGCTATACCAAAACGAGGATCAATATTGATCATTTGGGTAGTGAAATAATTTTTAGCAAAGAGATGTAAGGGTACCGTTGTATGGGTTCTACACAGAAACTTGGTTCAATATTAAAAATTTTTAGTACAATGAGAACCCAAATAAAAAGTTACTGCCAATTTGATTGAAAAACATATTCCAAATACCGATTTCTACCGTAATTTCAACAAGCGGACAGACGGACGCGCATAAATCGACATAGAAATTTATTCTGATGAAGAACAATTATACTTTGTGGGGTCTCCGGCAAATATTTCGAGGTGTTGCCAAATGAATAACAAATGTAATATACACACGTAAACCTTGACCCTCTATGATAAAAAATGTTGGCTGGTTTATAGTTAAAAGTCCCCGAATTTGAAATATATAAAATTGGATTCCAGTCCATAGTGCAATGAGGCTGTAATTTAGTATTTCGTTTCCACATCAGGATACCGACATATCTTATGTATTTTGAATGACCACCTCATGGTGTATCGATCGTTGTTTTATTTTTGTTTTTTTTTTATTCTACAGGCACAATTATGATCCGAATAAAATTTACACAGTTCAACTGGGCAATTCTGTTCAGGTCACCAGTGTAAAACATGTTTCACGAGGTGTTACAAATTTTTTCACTTTATCAACTCCTCCAAAACCTACTGTTTTGGTTACGTATCCATAAACTGTTAAACCCATTCCTTTGTCCTTCAACTTACCAAATCGTCAGCCAAAATAAATATGATATGTGGTGGTTTCTGAGCGGTCTCCACACCATTCGACTTTATCGCACTTCCACAAAATAAATTCAGCGCATTGTTATCGCAATTATCGCGTAACTCAATATCGGAATTAACACTGCATACCGTGAGAATTAGAAATGAAATGCCGCATTTAAGATTATTGAACAGCAACATTTCTTTCCTCGTTTTGTTTGTTTTGACGAGCGTTTAGTAAAATGCGAAACGAAAGCTAAAACATACAAATCGCGAATAATTAAAAAAATTGCGAACAATAAACAGACAGACAGACACAACGCCAAACAAAACAATGTTCAATTGTTTATTTCCCCAAACGGCAGTAACAACAACAACACCGGCAGCAATCCCACACTCGTCAATGCACTAGGGTGCAGGTAGGTTAGCTTCAAAATGTTCGCAATGCAATTTGCTTCAGCAACAACAAAAACAAGTCACAGAACGTGCAGTCTGAGGCATGCAATAACATTCGAATACGAATCGTTTCGCAAATAAACGCCCAATCGCCCGAGTAGCATAAAACGTTACGCCGTTCACTGAGACGCCAAAACAATTAAACCTTGCTGCAGTAATCCGTGATCCATTGTTCGTCTTCTGAAAAGTGTTTTTTATTTTTATTTTTTTTCTTAGCAGCACTTCCGAAAGATTTTTAATTAGTTTTCTGAACGGAAATATGGGGATGTATTTTCCTTATGTCTATTTTTATTTATTTTGTTGTGATTGCAAACATTTAATGATTTCCAAATTCAAATTCAATTATTCAGCATTTTCCACACTTCAAATTTTGAAATTTTCGATCGGTAATAGCACAGCACTTAACCCAAGGTACACTAACAGAGTCCGTCCACATTCAATAACTTCAACAATTCAACTGACAATGAATGAACGGACAACATTTACTTACAGCCGATCGTCGTAGCAGTTGTACGCTTCGCACATAATGGAAAATCGATGAGTATAAAACCGCAAGACTAAGCATTTACCCCGATCGTTCGTTTGTCTGTTTGTTTGAAGAGCTCTTTAGCACACCGACATGCCGACTGAATGCCAAGAAAACAAATGATTTTTTTCGGAGAAGAAGTAACGATCGAACAAATGTGGTGACAATGTGTACCCTATAAACAGCAGAAGGGAATACTCTCAACTAATTGTGATCGGCTGCAAATTCGTTGAAGCTCCATTATATTCGCAAAAAATCATAATTACGACGATGCGAACTCTTTGACTGATAAAGACGTATTCTTGGGGGAGATATTGTGCAAGATTTTGAATATTGCATCTGTGTACATTCTGTCAAGTAAATGTTTTATTACTGCAGGTTGTTATTATTTAGACATGTGTGTATGTACAAAATCTGAATGTCAATAAATCAAAAGTAATCAAAGCGCAAAGTCGTTAAGTCCGGCTGGGCCGAACTTTTTATACATTTCACAAATAAAATACATGAAGAAGTTTTTCTGTTATCCAAGACTCCGGAGTTGCCTATTACAGTTTTTCTACTGGAAAATACGTCTAGATCTAGATTGAAAATGCGACAATATTAAAAGAAAAACCTATATTGAACCAATAAAAATGTCAGGCGGTGTTGCCGACAGATATATACCGTCAGCCTATGGTTTGCGGAGGTCTATGGAATTACACATGGTATTTTCTTATTTTGATTGGGAGGTACCAAAAGGAGTGGAACAATTATCCCCATCTTCCGACGATCTAGGCTTGGTAAAAGTATTACAATTTGCAACATTCAGAAAAAATCGAACATTCAATTCGGGTTCCATCTTTCAACAGTTATGGTTATAAAATTAAGTTGCGTAAACAATAGTTCGAAATCGGGTAGACAATTCGGATAGCCGAATTTTGATCATTTTGTGTTGAGGTACAAGAAGTAGTGGGTCGTCGTTACCCATTTTCGGACATAGTCAAGATAAGGTAAACATATTACGATGTGAAAAGTTTAGATAATATTGGATATTCCGTTCGATTCAATTGAGATGCACAAGTTTTCAAAATGTTGACCCTTCGTGCGAGAGGTACTAGAATAAGTGAGCCGATATATCCGATCTTTCAACATTATTTAGTCGTGTTTATAATATTTGGTTGTGCAAAGTTTCATTCAAATCGGGTAGTCGGATCACGTGATGAATATCATCAAAATGTTGACCATTTTGTGTAGAAGGTATCTGAAGAAGTGGACCGATTGGACGTATTTTCGAATTTGGTTTAAGTTTGAAGGATTAAGTTATGATGTACAAAGTTGGATGAAATCGGTTACTCCCTTCGAAATCGTGCGCACCAGCCTGCCAGACAGTCAGAAGAACATTGGTAAATCAACTCCATATTGGAGTCTGAAACCAATATTTCTTTGAGGCACATTTTTGCCGTATTAATCACCCTCATTAGCCATAAGACTAATGATAGTTTTGCAAAAATATTTTTTTTTTTTTTTTTGAAATAAAATCCTGGTTTGAAAATAAGTCTAGGGCAATTAAAATATGAAAAACGGGGCTTTATAGGCTATGGGGCCAAAATCATACCATAGTTCTTCCGTGCCGGGATAGATAGAAACCCCGCACCTTGGTTATGTAGAGTTTGTCACAATCGTATCCACCACAGATCTATCTCGGCGAGATGCAATTCAATGGCAAAGATCGCCAGACATAACCATAGTTACACAATTCCGTTCAGATCACATTCTTGCCATCGCCACCGTTAATATTCCACCCGACTTCATAAAATCTGAACGTGGTGCTTTCCTGAAAGCTATTGTAGTTTTCCAATAACTACTCCAGGTGCCCATTTCTTAGGTCATCGGGAAGCTGAGAGATATTTCCAGAAATAATAGGCAACGAATATGTCACTCATGAAGCCTGGAAGGAAGGCTGAATGGAGAACTATTTCCAAAAATGGACCACCACTTTGTATATTTTTCTCCTGTGCTAAAATTATTTCGAAATATTAAGTAGAAATAAACTTATAATTTATGAGGATTACATATAATTTGAAAATTACTCTTGGACCAAAACCTATTAAAAATAAATGTTTGTCGAAATAGCTTCTTAAAGATTCAAACTTTTAATGATTCAATAGACGGCTTGTCTCATCTATTTTTTTCCACAAACGCAAGCATGCTACGTGATATACATAATAACAATATTTATTTCATAATATGCATGCATTGAATACATTATTTTCTATTATTTTGCTTTTTTCTCTAAATTGATATCACCAAAATATTCTAGGCCCGAATTGAAACGTAATTATTGGTGATATTTGCTAGAGAAAGGTTTTGTTTATATTTTTTAGTACAATGACCCAATATTGGCAACTCGATTAGAAGATTTATTAACATACAAAGAGTCCAAGCCCAAAATCATGAAGAAAACTAAACGCCAACTGTTTGGACAGTATTTGAAACCTCTAAATCTAAAATCCACAAGTTTCACACTTTACTGAAAATGCTCTATTTGCCGACTTTATGATACCACTTTAGGTATATACCAGACATGCTCCCAAGTTTATTATTGTAATTATTATTATATTATTATTTGAATCTACAATAATATATACCGAATGAAACCAAGCATATATAAGATGTACGTGTAAATGATTTTAGTTGTATGTATTCAAATCACATCGATCGACCAGAAGCAGAATCTTTGGTGTACCTCTTTTTGTGAAATTGGTCAAAAATATTTACGGAAACTATATATAAATCTGAACAGATTTCAACAAATCTTAACACACGTTATTCTATGCTGTGCAAATTTTAAAATCGGACGAAACTATTTAGGGAAGTTATGTATAAATCTCAATTGAGATTCACCAATTTTAATAAAAGAGCCGTGAGCCGTACCAAATTTCAGCTCATTCGAATCATACATGCAACCAGTATTTTATTTACTATAATACATGGATAGGCAAGCAGACATCGAAGTAAGAGCTTATCCAGCCGACAAGCAGGAATAACTGCGTAACAGCATATCTCCTATATAACTGTAACCATATATATTGGTGAACTATTTCGCGCCCAAATAATGATACTCCCCGCTTTCCAATATTTTGAAGATTTTTGACGTTTTCCAACTGAAAGAGCGGTAATTAGGTATCCTATATTATCATTGGGTACCAAATCTGTCTACCAAAAATTATTAACATGGGTGCACTTTTTTTGGTATCCCCCATATAACGGTGCCCTCCAAATTTCGATATTTTTACGATTTTGGAGAAGTTTTTCGATCGATTTGGTTGCAATTTTGTAAGTTATGTTGGGTAATTGGGTACCAAATCTCCCGATAAACAATATTAATATTGGTCTTTTTTTGGGTAGCTCCCATATAACTGTACCTCCTAATTTCGATATTTTGGGACAAGTTTTTAGATTGATTTGTTTAAAATGTTGGTATGTTGGGCTTTAATTGAGTACAAAATCTTTCAGCCAAAACATTTTTATATTGACATATTTTGGTAATATGAGTATCTTGAACACTATATAACAAATGTGGTACCGGGTATTATGTCTTTGTACATATGTTTGTAGAAGGCAAACGGAATCTAGATAGACCCATGGTTCTTTTGAGAATATGCATAGAATCACTTTCTGAGTCGAATTTTATCATTATGCCATTTGTCCGTCCATGTCTTTTTGTGAACAAAGTACAGGTTGCATTTTTGATTCGAATTGGATGAGATTTGGCACAGCTCACTTATTTGGCCCAAGGACGAATCCTATTGAAATTGGGAAAAATCGGTTTAGATTTAGATATAGCTCCCATATATATTTTCGTCCGATTTTAGGTACAGTAATACAATAATTTTTTATTAAATACGCTTATGTGTACTGTACAGGAAATTATCACTGGGAATTTGAGATATATAACGGTATTTATGAAACAAGTCAATAACTAGAGGTCGATAAATAGTTATAAAAATAAACAAAAATTTGAAATAAAAACTCAAAAGTTTTAAATTGAAGGACACCTTCGACTTCGAAAGGCTTCGAGGTAGAAAACCAGTATAGGGTGATTCCAGGTAAACTGACCCCAGCTCAATTAAAAATTATAATAGATTTTAAATATCAATGAAGAGTTGATAAAATTTAGGACCAGCTTTTTCATAGGAATACATTTCGATGGTGTATCATGAAATTGTTGGCTGCACTACAT